CCATGCAGGCTCTGTGGGAGGAGTGCAAGCCCTGCTTGAGGAAAACTTGCGTTAAGTATTACTCACGCACCTGCAGCAGTGGAGCCGGCTTGGTGGGACGACAGGTGATACGTCTGCACAAACATCCCTGCAATTACCCTGACTTCATTCTGGCGTTTGCAACCATCCCTCTCTTTGTCTGTTTTTAGCTGGAGGAGGTTTTGAACAGGACCTCTCCCATCTCCATTTGGATAAACGGGCAGAACATCGAGACCCTTTTGGACGAGGACCAGCAGCAGACCAGACGCTTCCAGGACCTGGAGGAGCGGTATACAGAGGTTGCAGACGGAGTGGACAACATCTTCATGGACAGCATTAAGGTGTTTGACCACATGCGTTCCTTCCACCAGCCCAGCTTCTTCCCCAGTCCCTTCCGTATGCCCAGCATGTTTGATAGTCAGTCCAGCCGGGCCGCTCGTGTCTACAGGTCCCCTTTGCACAACCAAGATATCCACAGCTTCCACAGCATGTTCCGCCCCATGATGGACATGGCCAGAAACATGTTCAACTCATTCGGGCCCGACATGGGAAGTGATATGGATTTCCCTTCAGAAGGTAAATTTCAGGGTTTACAAGCCTGGATGTAACAACATGTACAAAGTTAAGTGTTGTAAGCAATATCCATCAAACTTAAAGGGACAGTCCACCCAAAAATGACATCATGTCGCTCCAAATCTGTATGACTTTCTTTCTTCTGTTGATCATAAAAGATATTTTGAAGAATGTTAAAACAGTTTAGGTTCCCATTGACTTCCACTGTTTTTTTTCCCCCCCAATAGAAGTCAATGGGAAACTAAACGGTTTAGTTACCAACATTCCTCAAAATATTTTCTTTGGAAACAAATGCAAGAAAGAAAATTCTGTCATCATTGCTGTTTCAATCCTGTATGCATTTTTTTTAATATGATAAAAATTAATATATATAAATATTTATAATTATTAATATATATTATTTATAAAAAATAAATATTAATTAAAAATTAACAATTTAAAAAACAAACTACTATTTTATATCATTATTGTGTGTTATGTCATATTGCCATAGTAAAGAAAAAATTTTTTCACATCATATATATGTTGTGAACGAAATATATATATATATATATAATTTTTACACAATATTGATATAAAATAGTTGTTTGTTTTTTTACTTAAAGACTGCTTATACCCCAGATGCCTTTAATCTGTAAACCTGTATTCATAGATGGCAGAGTAAACGAGGATGTTATTATAACAAAACCATTTGGAAATGATAAGATGACCTGCAGGGAGATTCGTCGCAATTCTGCCGGCTGCATTAAACTGAAGGATGAGTGTGAGAAATGTAAAGAGATCCAGCATATTGGTAAGTGCAATATTTAAATACAGTACATGTCTTAATTTTATGTTATATTATCCAGCATAGAACTTCAAATTTGGTTCCAACTTGGGATTTTTTTTTAATGAGAATTCCATGTTATATAACAATTAGAGCTTTGTTTTCTTCATCAGACTGCTCTGGAAAGAGGCCCCTGGAAGGCCCCCTGAAGGAGGAGCTGGAAAGGGCTCTTGCCAGGGCTGAGAGATTCACCCAGGAGTACAACAGCCTGCTAAAACGATTCGAAGAAGAGATGTTCAACACCTCTAGTGTGCTGGACCTGTTCAACAAGCAATTTGGTTGGGTGTCCTCTCTAGCTAGCCACACCAAAAATGAAGAAGGCTTCTTTAAAATACAGGCAGTAGGTGCTAAATATGATTCAGCACAACTGATACTCCTTTCACTATGTAGATCACTCAGTTGGCAACATTTTATGTGCAGGTGATGTCAAAAGGCTCAGATAATGCAGAGACCCCAGGTGACACTAAAGTGTCAGCCAAACTGTTTGACGGGCCAGATATGAGCTTCACAGTGCCAGGAGACATTCCCTGGAGCGACCCGAAATTCTCACAGGTGGTGGCACAGGAGGCTTTGGATCGTTACAAACAGAACACTGTGTGAGTCTTAACACCAATCTTTTCCTTTTTAATTAGCTAAAATCTTATTAATGTGATTAAAAATGTATCAAATATATTCATGTTTTCCTCTCCAGGGTCACAAACTAAACATTCTGGAGGGCCGGCACTTCTGGTGAAGAAAAGATATTCTCTGAGAAAACCGAAAAGCACTTGAGAAGATCCTTATGAATTAGAAATACAATACTGAGAGATGTTGTACTTGTGTAGCTGGATATCTGTTGTCTAGAATTATTCCTGCTGTTTCATCCTGCTTAACATTCAGAGACCCTACAGAAATTATATAGAATTAGAGCTTATGAATTATAATCAACTTTACATTGTCAAATACCAATAAAACACAAAATTCCACATTTTTCTCATCTCTTAATGAGCTAAAAGACAATTTCACACTGCAGATTTCCAGACATATTTTGACAAAGGTAAAAGGTCACCTTCTATAACCTTTACTCACTTTCCTCCACTGGTGGAACTTCCAATCTCCATCCAAACAGCAGAAACCTTTAAAACAAGACTGAAGACACATCTCTTCTGAGAGCATGTGTGGAGTAATTCATAGCCTTATTATATATTTCTGCACTGTTCTGCATTCACTTCTAATGGTAACAAGCAGGCCCGTAACCAGCTATGAGGCCACCGAGGTCCGGTCCTCGGTAAATTTGTCATGTTTAAAAATAAAGTTTGTTCTTTGAATAACTAATTTGCTGTTAAACTCCTCATATGAATGCCTGAATGACATGTATAATTCAGTTTAGACAGTTTGCAAGAATGTTTAGCGTTGCCAGATCCAGCTATTATAAGCGTTTTTCGACTTGTCTTTTCCACTTAATTTAACGCTTTAGAAAGTTAATAAAGTAGGAAGTTGAGTTTAGAGTCAGCGATATCTTTATCTTATTTGCAAAAGATTGGAAATAATTTCGGTTTATTTTTTGTTTGTTTTAGTATCAATATCTGGCAACACTGCATCGCCGGCACTTAAACTAAAAGCAATCAAAAAAGCCCATGGACAGATTTTTGCTGACAGGATATGACATTCGGTAAGGGAAACGCAAAAATTATCATATTATCTGCCATAAACGTTATCAATGCTGTCAAAAGCAGTAGCATTTAACACTAGTACACACAGATCTGTAGAACAAGTAGGTTACAGAATGAAATGAAATACGCAAAAACTAGCCATGAAGAAGTATACTATGTCATTCAGTATAGTTAAATTTTCACAAATCATGCTATAAACTTTCATAAGAGCACTAGACAAAGTTATTGTAGTTATGCATTGTTGCAATAAACTGATAAAATTATCCACCCTTAAATATAGTAAAGTATTAACACATTTTGATGCAATAAATAGGGTATGATTTAAAAATAATCATCCCTCCAAAACAGAGAAAACATCTTTCACAAACATCTACATGTTTGTTAAAGTGTTTATACAGTAGTGTATATATAATGAGTTGTATTTGTAGGGGTTATTATAGCACAATTCTTTAACACACACACACACCCAGACCTCATTTTAGAAGCCCGAGTACGGCCATGGTAACAAGTTGTGCTATCACAGAAAATTTTATTTTACCCTTGCATTAATAGCTTCTGCCTGAATTAGATAAATGAATATGTTAACATAATGAATAATTAATCTCAATATCTAATTAAAGAAAATATTTAAGCAATATCAGATGAGCAAGACTGCTATTCTTTATCCTAAAATGTTCAGGCTCAAATTAGAGTTTTAATGTGGTTTTAGACCATAGACCTTACTCAGGGTAGCAATGTATTTCATTTTTGACAGAAATGAAAATGAGGCTGTGAGGGACCGAAGTACAGTGTGTTCAATGGATTGTACTGTCGTTTAACATACGGATTGTTCAGACAAAATATCTTTCTGGAAAAACTTTCAATGGACAAAAACTGCATAAAACAGTTTTGAAAGTTGTGAGCTGTGAAAATTATGTGATCTAGGACCTTAATACAGTGCATGCCATTGTAAAGACTAAGTATATCCCTAACAGCCTTGTTTTCATCCACGTTAAATTCAATATAGCATCTAACCTGACTATAGTCTTTGCTAAAGTCTTCCGTATCGGGACTGTTCTCTAATCAAAAAAGTCTGAAACTATATGTGACCCTGGACCACAAAACCAGTCATAGGGGTCAATTTTTTTAGACGTATACATCATCTGAAAGCTGAATAAATAAGCTTTCCATTGATGTATGGTATAGAACATATGGATAGGACAATATTTGGCCATATTTGGATTGGAATCTGAGGGTGCAAAAAAATCAAAATATTGAGAAAATCGCCTTTAAAGTTCATTATTTTTGGCATAAAAGAAAAATCGATAATTTTGACCCATACCATGTATTTTTGGCTATTGCTACAAATATACCCCAGCGACTTAAGACTGGTTTTGTGGTCCAGGGTCACAAATATAATTTGAGTCATTATTCTGTATAATTAAGACCAACAGAATGACTGAGAGTGTGATATTGCTTTTATACATCAGTTTAACAAACAGGAAGTTAATAGTAACTTATATTTTAGACACAATACGTGTCTAAATAATATCGCCTGTTTTTTCCTCCACCAATGAAAATTCCACACAAAGTCGAAACGGAATCAACCATTTGGTCTCCAAGCAACACACATATTAGCGGTGTTACAGAATCAGGGTTTTTGAACAAATCAATGATCAAAGTGAAAATTTCAATGAGTCGCTCATAAAGACAGCAGTCACTTGTTTTGTTCTTAAATGAATCCGTGTTTTTGAACAAATCGGCTAAATGAAGGAGTTAACGACTCCATGATAAAGACAGATGCTAATGAGTTGCTAAGTAACCTCTAAAGCACAGACTGACGCTCTTTCTGTAACAAGAAAACAGACAAATGGAGTAAGAGAAACCGTTGGACGCTCTTGGACGCTGGACTATTGGAAAACAGTTGGAGCGCTTGACAAAAAAGGAAATTATTAAAATATTGTGCCATTTTTATTTTGTGTAAAAATCACACAGCTGCTAGTTCATTCTGCAGAGAAACATCCATGCAGTTAAACATTTATGATCCCACAGCCATTGTATAAGCAATTAAATAGAATATTTGCTGTTAGTCAGCAATTAATGCAAATTTACATATGAGATCAAAAGGTGTGTATCATACAATATACAACCTACCCCTGATACAGTAAATCAGCCTGAACAGCAGGGAGAAAAGGCTCGTCTTGATTTAACATGGGGGGACACATTACTGTGAAAACCTGCACACCAGGAAGTAAGGCTTTAAGGAGTAAAAGAAAAACACAGACGTCAGTCAAAACAAACGAATGGATGAAAGACATGGTGCAAGCCTATGTAACAACAAAAACGTCACATTAGTTCAGACGTTACAGTTACAAATCAAGTGGTTCATCGTTAAGAGCCGTTTTATACGAAATGAGATCGTGAATGACATGCAAAAATAAGTACGAGAAAAGACAAATGAAAGCCGAAGGGGAGAAAGTGCAGTCATTGTTTCAGGTCTCAGGTTTACATACTGATGATGTCACAGAATTTATGATGCAGGACTGATGATGTACCATATGAGGTACAGCCAACATTTGAGACGGAGAGGGACATCTGCCATCCCGGGGTGAAAGACAGTACAAGGTTGAACGGGTTGTTTTTTAGTAACACAACAGTGTGTGTTAAGAGAAGAAAAGAAAGCAGTTCTTGATGACACGTTTGTAACTGTCGTCCTCAAACTCTCTCACGCATATGAAACAAACACACACAGATGTGCTGTCCACCGATATGGCAAGGAAGAAATATTAAAGGGGCAGTTCATCCAAAAAAACTATTCTGTCATTTGCTCAAAACCCATAAGATTTTCTTTCTTTCATGTGACACAAAAGGTGAATTTTTGAAGAATATCCTGGCCGCTCTTTTCGATTTAATGAGAGGGCTTACAAACAAAAGCTGCATAAAAGCATTAAAGTTCTCTTTGCCATTTTGCTGACAGTGACTGTCTGATTTGTGAACAAAAGATTCATCGGATTAGTTTGAATCTTTTCAACGATTCAGGTTATCCAGGAAAAAAAAGAGAATGAGTTATTCACAAATTTGACTGATCCAGTGCTTAAGTTCAACACAGTTCATTGGAGAAAAAAAATCAGTGTCTGTTCCTTGCACACAGCAATCATATGACCACAAAATAATTTAAATATAGCACACTTTTTGCAGTTTCTTTTGTATTTTTGGAGCTTGGAATCCCCAGTCCTTATTTACTGTCATTATTTCGAAAAGATCAGCCAGGAATATTCATCAAAAAAACAAAGTCATATGAGTTTGTAAAGACTTGAGGGTGAATAAATAATGAAAGAATTTACATTTTTGAGTGAACTGTCTCTTTAACAAGTGCATGTCAGAAAGCGTACTTCTGAAATAGTATGATCTCCCAAAAATCAGTTCTCCCCTCTTTACGACCAGTGCATGGCCTAACATGATTGTCTGAGCACACACGGGTGCCTCTAACATGGAAGAACATGACAAGCTGCCTCAGGACTCTGGAGAACAGGAGGGGAAGAGGCTCCTTCATGTTTACCAGAATTACAGCCTCCTGCCAGTCATGCTGTCAGGCTCTTGCCTCACATGCTAAACAGAACCTGCGATGTCTGGGGTATTACACACACAACCACTCAGACTTTCTGTTTCATCAAAGTGCCATAACGAATAATGTTCCTGGACCCCATCCCTCTGAATGGCTGTGTGAGACAGAACAGTCTGGAGGAAGCAGCGATCGTGTCTCTTCTCACACAGTCAGCAGAGGAGTGGAGAAAGGGTGAAATGGACATCCTGCCAGAGGATCCAACAGACCACTCAAAAAAAACAAAAAAACAACTGGGGTAATCACTCTTTCATACACACAAACATTCAATCTGAAGCGAACACACTCTTTTTACAAATGCGAAAATGGTCTAAGCTGTTCCAGTTGCACTTCAAGCGATATTCTTTCTTCTAGCAGGTCCTAAGAAGACAAAATTTGGAAAAAGACTTTTGAACAGCTCGTCTTCTGAAAAAAATGTGGTCACATTCAATGACATCTCACAATACCTTCAACTGCTGCTGTAATTCACTGTTGAGTCTGGCTAAAACCGTATTGGTTTCTTTGTTTCTTCTAATGGAAGCCTGGATGGCCTTCTTATCTTTACCGATAGACCTGTTTTTAAACAGAACAGGAAGAGGAAGCGTACTTTAGAGTACAAGGAAACATTAGGAACATCGCTGGGCAAACCTGTCAACAAAAACTCCAGTACTTATATGGGGGAAAAAAAATATTATATTGCATACATATACTGCATTTTATTTATGTTCATATATAAATATGTATTCATATTTATTTATAATTTTGAATATAACAAAAAAATATAAATGTATCCCGACATTTTTATGATTTTTTATTGCTTAATTGTGAAAATAATGCCACAATCAATAGAAAAATAACTTAATAATAAAATAATATTCCCTTTTTTCTCCTGGTGGAGCGACTGTCGAGCGTACCGTGGAATTGAGGGCTGGGTTGCTAGAACAGTGGCTATGACGTTAGACTTTTGCGGAAGGTCCTCCACATCTGGTCTGAGCTCATCTTCTGATTTCAGTCTTCGACGAACGGGTTTAGGGGGTGGGGCCAATGGAGTGGATACTTTGGCCTATTAAAACATACATTGAGCGATTATAATGCTAAAGTAACATGCAATATGAAGACTGGTTGGTAGAGAATGGCTTACAGAGTTGACAGTAGTTGCATTTCGTTCCTCTGCCTGAACGTCATTCTTTGCTGTTCTCATCGTCCCGGTGGTTTCTGCACATCTTTCTGCCTAATATATATATATATATATATATAAAAACCAGTTCAACATTTTAGGGTCAGTGACCTTTTTTTTTTTTTTTTTTTGAAAAAGAAATAAATGATTACTTTTTTCCAGCAAAAGTGAGAGTAAAAACCTTTATACTTTATTTTATAATTTCCACAAAAATATTAAGCAACACAACTGTTTTGTTTTTATTACTGATAATAATAATAAATGCTTCTTGAGCACCAAATCGGCATATTAGAATGATTTCTGAAGGATCATGTGACACTGAAGATTGGAGTAATGGCTGCTGAAAATTCAGCATTTTCATCACAGGAAAAAATTACATTTAATGATATATTAAAATAGAAAATAATTATTTTACATTTTAATAATATTTCATAATATTACTGTATTTTCGATCAAATAAATGCAGCCTTGGTGAGCATTAGAGACTTCTTTAAAAACATTTTAAAAAACAATCTCAAACTTTTGAAAGGTACTGCATATATATTTAGTGCATATATAGATAGAAATTTAACATTTACTTGTGTAATACGCATTCATGTTTTTGTTTTTTTTTAAACAATCCATCTGTGCATTTTTTTTTTTGCACCACAAATAAAGTTTTTTCTTCATAATCTGTCATCATTATAATAAATGGCTCCATTTGTACCTGTCCACTGTCAGATGATATCTCTCCATCATCTGCCGACTGGTCGACAGCAAAAACCTGGAACTGGCTGAAGTCAGCAAAGTTGGGTTGTTCTGGCATCTGATGGGGTGACGTGCTGGTATGTGCTGGAAGACCATCTCCCTCTACCGAACGGTGACCATGTGGCACTGATGTCTGGGGATTTGAACATTACATATTGAATTACTCTTCTATAAAAAGTGTAATAGTTATCTAATTATCTGAAAGCAATTTATACAGAATTGCTAACCACTGGGCTATACCTGTGTGGGAAGTGGTCTGGGAGGCACTGCTGGGGGAAAGGCAACTACACCTGGCTGTTGCGGACCTGATGGAGAAGTAATTACAAAAGAGAAATTCAGCTTTTCCTAACCACACCCCAACAAAACAAGAAGCTATGAGTTACCTGATAACTGGTTGTGTGTGTGCATACCTGCAGGGACAGCAGCAAAGTTTCTGTTCATGTCTAGAGAGGAGGACCGTGAGTGAGAGGCGTTGGGGCGGGGCGGAGGTGGGGGCGGAGCCACAACCTTCAGTCCTTCCGGGGAGGTGCCGGAGTGAGACCTGTAATAGCATGAGCTGTAAATCTTTTTTGGCTGGAAATGTCACATTATGTTCTAACCAAACATGATATGACGAAAATCGCATCTAAAGCACTAAATCATTTCCAAATCTTATCCATGTTAATCTGAGCTTTTCTTCTAGCTACAACAACACAAACAGAAAGAAGAACAAAGATTAAAGTGAGTCTGAATTTGGTGCCACTGCAAGACTTTAAGTACCTTTGTCTGTTCACAGCACTGGAAATGGGCTCTTGATCAGATGTAAATGAATCTGAGCTGCTATAGCCATCTCCTGTAAAAAGGAAGGGCAATGCTCTCAATGAATTACGGGAAAAGATTTCCTGCCAGTCAATTAAATGGTTGAATAGTCCAGATGTACTTACCAACAGTGGTACCAGGAAATTTAACAGTTGCTGCTAACTTGGTCTCATCAGAAAGTTCTGGTGGTTTCGCCATTAACGGACTTGTTGGATGTGTGTGATCTGTAAAACAAGAGTAATCCAATTTGTTTCTAATCAAATTATTACATATGTCCATACAGTAACTATACTACTAGTTAAAAAGTCTGGAATCAGTAAGATATTTTTTTAAAGAAATTATAATTTACAATTATAATTACATTTTAAAATATTATAAAATAGAAAATTATTATTTTAAATTCAGCCTAAGCATTAGAGGCTTCTTTCAAAACCACTGAATAAAATCTGACATACCCTAAACTTTAGAACAGTAGTGTATACCAATGTTAGATTATTGTGGAAGAAAGAGTCCTATAGCAGATTTCTAACTGAAAATTACAAGTTCTATTAAACAACTAGTTGTTTTACATTTTCTGAAGAAAATATTGGTGGTGCTTGCCCATGCAAAAGTCGTGATTCTAAGGTGCTGTAGATGGCTGCTAATGTGTTTTGGGTGGTTGCTTCCTTGTTCAGGTCAAAAGCTCAAACCTAAGCCTCTGTGATATGCAAAATATGGCTTTTGGTTCTTTCTTCAAAGCAAGTCAATGAGATTTTTAGGGTGAAAAATATTATTAAAAAAATTCTAAACCCCCAACCCCAAGTATGAGCAAAAGCAATAGTGATTAAGAAGGACAATACACCAAAAATAACGAGAAAGAAAAGACAAGTGGATGAATTTTGAGAACAAAACTTTAAAATGTTACAGCTTAAAATTCAGTCAAAAATTGAATATGCAATGTAAAAGCACATAAACAGACGCACCGCTTCCAGTTCTCTTGAGCTCCATCTCTTGCATGTGGATCTTGCTGGGTGTCATACGAATGGGCACAGGGTGGACTATTGCTGTATCCTACAATGAAACAAGCACATCAACTGTTGCTGTCGCATAACTACAACTGTGTTTCACTGAACTTAATGAAGATTTATCATCTCAGTTATAAAGAAGAACAAGGAATAGTTAAGACCTGGCACTGAGTAACTATAAACAAACATTGTATCACAACACCGTCAAAGGACAGCCAGCAGAATCATCACTTGGATTACATGATACAGTATGAAAGAAAGAGCATGAAGGAATTATCGATAAGCTCAGCAAGCAAAACAAAAATGAATCATTTGATGATGGCACTGTGGCTATAAATTTATACTGAGGACATGCGCTCTCAGAGAGAATTTACAGAGTATTAGGTTAATGAATATCATTAATCATTAAAAAGAGCACTGAGTGATTGACTTACAGGGTCAGCTGGTGCAATGTTAGAATCAAATTGGGTCAGAGTTTGTGAGCTTGAGGAGCGTTCGCTAAAAGTCTCCCACTGCTGGAGAGACAGAGCAGAGACATGTTAGCAAGGTGGAGCAAATCCACTCCTCACACGAGCAAACAGAAGCCATAATACAACAACAGCGTGCCCTCTCCGCCCACTGACTGTTAGGAGAAGCCCGTGATTTGTCCGGCTGCATATTCTCTGGTGACCACAGAGGAACAATTGTCTTCCTAATGGCCTTATAGGCTGAGATGGAGAATGTCACATTTTATTTCCCAATTACAAGGATCAGCTTAGAGGAAACAGGCTGTAGTCATCAAAAGAGAACCCCCAATAATTAGATCCTGTAGATCAAAACGTTACTGACCTGTTTAAAGGTGAAGTGTGTAATTTCATAGTCAATTGAAACTGCGAAATGAACGACTATTTGAACAGGTTTTTTTAAACAGTCTTCCCATTTGCCATTGGTCGACCCAACAGATAAAATCCCCTGACATTGTTTGAGCCAATACAGCTATGTCAGATCGGGATGCTCAAACAAATATTCTGCAAACTCTCCAGAGCCACATTGTTACACTTTTTTTCAGAAATGAATCAATAAATATCTTAAAGTTACTTACTACTTATTAAGCTGGGATAGGAGAAAGCATTTAATATTCCAATAAAATAATTGCTTTCTTAAATGTCCCCAGTCCTATTTTGCAATTATTCTGTAGGGAAATGTTTGGAAACCAATTTCTGCCATACATGGGGAAAAAAAAAAAATCATGCTTTGGTAAATCATGATTTTAACATAAAAAGTTGAAACTATGACAGAGGTATAATGATGACATCAAATTTACTTAAAATCATAATTATATGACTTCTTATCTCATAATTCTGATTTAGCATGTCATAATTTTGACTTTTGTCATAATTATGACATAGTAATAGTATCTCATCATTTTGATATTAATTGATATGAATTTTGTCAATTATTTACCAATGCATGATTTATGTGGCAGAAATTGGATTTCATAGAAATGTGTTACTTTTCATTATATTTTATTTTAAAATGTGTTACAAATTTTATTTAAAATGGTGCTGAACATTGGGATCATAACACCTAGTCCTATCATGCAAACTAAAACTAAAAACTTTTTTTTGCTTCCAAAATGGCTTTATGCTGACATAACCTTGAAAAATAATGTCAACCAATAACATTGTAGCCCATTGTGCTGGTATAAAATGCCCACGATCCAATCAAATCCTGGTATTGTTTCCCACTGAATATTTTGTTTCACTTGGAAATGTGTCACATTATGAAGTATTCCATTAAAAGTAGTCCAGGAGGTTAATCTAAGACTTAAAAGATTTATTTTAAAAATGTGACTTCAGGTCAGCAGTTTTGACTACAAGGCCGCCACATTCCCCAACAAATCAGTGAAGAATTAACTGTAATAACAATTCTCAGTGAAGAATTAACTGTAATAACAATTCTCATGAGAGTGTTACATGTCTGGAGATGAAAGTGTGCTTCGCTGGCACCATTTTCTCCTGACCAGATGTGTATTAGTTTCATTTACTCATAAAGACAAAGGCAGATAGAACTACAAATTACAAATAGGAGTGAAAGAGGTAGGGTACATTGAGAACACCAAAGTCCTAACCTCATTGCTCTGGTTGAGCTCAGGCCAGTTCTGGTTCAGGGAAGGCATGGAAGGAGACTTATTTGGAGTGACCTCCACAGGGGAAGCAGAAAAGCCAGCTTCAGGAGCAGGTTCTGGAACTCCTGAAACATACAGACAGACAATAAAGACTTTGTGCAGACACCTGAACATCATTCAACATAAATATGGAATAGGCAGAATAATACTGCATCTTAAAGGTCAAAAACGTCATAAAACTTCATAAGGATTCTCAAGGTCCCAAGGGCAAAATGTTGCTAAGATACAGGCTCACTTCCTATGTTATTACAATATTGGAATTAGAAGCAAGTTTGTTCTCTGTCTACAATGAAACAAAAATGCCGGGAAGAGACAATATCACATCCAATTGCAACATATTTTAGACTTTATATGCAATTATGAGGACTGAGATTTTGGACAAATAATTTTATTGCAACCCAGAACATTGGCTAGTTAGGGCGAAAACTTCAATTGAAAGATATTTATCACTTTTAGCACTATTGCAGTGAGTCTGGTTACAAGAAAATGTTAAAAACACAGTTTAAACAGTGTTTATGTAAAATAATAGAGAGAATATGAAAATCCACACAATAACTGAACATGCAGCTTTTGTTCAAAAGGTTGGGGTTGACACAATTTTTAAATGTTTTTGAAAGAAGTCTCTTATGCTCACCAAAGCTGTATTTATTTGATAGAAAATATAGTAAAACAGTCAAATCACAATATCAATATTATTACAATTTAAAATAACTTTTCTGTTTGAATAGATTTTATAATGTATTTTATTCCTGTGATGGCAACGCTGAATATTCAGCAGCAATTCTTCCATCTTCAGTGATACATGAACCCTTCAGAAATAATTTGGTAACACTTTACAATAAGTTTGAGTTCAAATAAGTTTGAACAATACTTCTACAGCATTTATTAATCTTAGTTCATGTTAATTTCAACATTTACTAATGCATTATTAAAATCAAAAGTTGAGCTTGTTAACATTAATTAATAAACTGTGAATTAACATGAACTAACAATGAACGACTGTATTTTCATTAACTAACATTAACAAAGATTAATAAATACTGTAATAAATGTATTGTTCATTGTTTGTTCATGTTAGTTAATACATGAACTAACATTAACTAATGAAACATTATTGTAAAGTGTCACCAATAATCTTAATATGCTGATTTAGTGACCAATTTACACTTCTAATTATTTTGTTGAAAACAGTTGTGCTTTTTAATGTTTTTGTTGAAAATGTGTGTGTGTGTGTGTTTGGTGATTTTTTTTTTGAAAGAACAGCATTTATTTTAAATAGCTTTTTTTTAGTATCAACAAAAAGTATTTCTGTCAGTTACAATCAATTTAATGTATTAGTATACATTTCTTAAAAAATAAAATAAATAAAACAATTACAGACCCCAAACTTTTGAATGGTAATGTTTGTGTCTGAATAGAGCACCAGCAAGTGGTCACAAAAACTTATTGTAATTACACCACATAAGTATTTCTTGATATACCCATGTGAATTTGGAAATGGCACTCTGCACATATTATATTCAGAAAAGGTTTTAAAAAGCACTCTGTATGCAGATCTGTGAAACGTTATGAAATACCTGGGCTGGATATTTCCCAATCTGAAGCTGTGGTTGGCGTGAGGCTTTTCTGCTTACCTGCTGAGTCATCCAAGTCAATAAGCTTTGGCATTAGGCTCTCGGGGAGCTTTTCAGGAAGGTCATAACCATTTTTCCTGGCGACCACAAGATGAAATGCAGCACAGAACTCATCAAGGGTCAGTGCACCATCTTTATCAAAATCTGATAGCTCCCTGCAAGGTAAAGCAGGTCAATCAATACAGATCAGATAAATATTTTAAGGCACAAATAAACAGATGACAGGGACGCCATCCTTTTTCAAGGACAGGACATTAACAAACTGAATGCAAATGGATACGATTATCAACTGATGCTGTTATGGAGTGGCAACATATGCATGAGTTCTTGGTTACACATCTGTTTCAGACAATCTACACCAAGGTCATCCAAAACGAACAAAGAGAGACAATGTAACTCATGTACAACTACTTACCAAATGTGAGACAGTTCAAGAATAGGTAGTTTCGACTTTGTAAAGAATTCCTTTGCGGCTGAGCCTGAACAACAGAGCATGGATACATTTTTAGGCTGGTAAGTTCAAAACAGAATAAAGGCAGTTACTGTTCAAAACAAGGTCTCACTAACCAGGGATTAAACCAGTGAGATCAGTCTGAATGGTCTTAAACTGGTTTATGTAATACTGTCTTTGCTCATCTGTGATTTTCCAGGGGTCATCATAACCACTGATCTGTCTTTGGATTTCATTTGTGGTCATTGCAGACGGCACAGTCCGTACTGTTGTGCTCTCCGGCTGGAGCAGAAGAGCAGGGAGAAATTAGAATTAGATTTTGTAATATACTTATATTATTCCTGCTGAATAAAAGTATTTTTAAAAAAATCTTGCTGTTACTACACAATATATAATAAGTTTATTTATTTATTTTTTAACATTTTAAAGGGGTCCTATTATTCTTTTTCACTTTTGGAATTTTAGTCAGTGTGTAGTGTGTATGTGTGGGCATAACAAAGATCTACAAAGTTACAAATCTCAAAGTCCACTCCAAACGGAGATATTTCGTTTAAAAAAAATCCTTTTTCAAGAACTACAATGAACGGCTCGTTTGGACTACAGTGTTGTTTTCCGGGGTTTGTGATGTCACAAAGCGGCCCTATTAGCATAGACACAGCCCTGAGTGAGCAGCAGCAGTCCAAATGTCAGTGCCAAAGATAGAGATACAATGTCAGTGCCAAAGAAGCATTACAAGTGTCGTGTGTTGGAATGCACCAACGAACATAGGAGTCTCCATAGACCCCTGAGGACATGGTGGTTAAATTACCAACACTTCGTGCGTGAACGACCAGACAAAGTAAGCATCACGTGTCACATTTTGTTTCCCAAAAGAGCTTCTTGGCACTCTGTAAGGCTAATGTTGCTAAAGCTACCATTGTCTCTGCCTGTTGTCACTGATGTTGCCTTCATGTGCTACCAGAATGATCGTAAATAGGAATGTGGTAGTTGAAAATTGCATATGGAAGCAATGTGAGTCGACCGCTTGAATTTGTTGAGCTCATAATGTGATAGCACGCGAACGCACAATGAGACCAGCTATGTCGTTATTTTTATCGCGCCGTGCTTCCCGTCTGTGTAATTCATAAACGCGCATTTACTGCACAGTACAGTCAGATTATGTGATATTGTCCTGTTTTGCCGGAGCATGAGCTCTTGAAGCTCCGCACTCTTCTGAAAAGGGAGGTGGGAGCACCAGCTCATTTGCATTTAAAGGGACAAACACAAAAACGGCGCGTTTTGGCTTATAAAAGGGGCAATTTCAACAAGCTATAAAAAAAATTTATCTGTGGGGTATATTTTGAGCTAAAACTTCCCATACACACTCTGGGGACATCAGAGACTTGTTTTACATCTTGTAAAAAGGGGCATAATAGGACCCCTTTAAACAACATAAACAACTACCTTTTTTTCAAATTTCTAGTATGATCAGTAATTCTCTGAACATTTGGGCTTTGGCAAATATTTAATAAGGTCTGCTTTTGTGTTGTTGTGAACACAACAGTAACCATCTGTTCTGCCACAGAAGCCTTGGTTACAGCAGTCTAGTGGTGACAGATCATGTTGTATACCTAACAAACGTATACATGGAGGCCTGCATTGCATTACCTGAGCTGATGGGGGATGCATTGGAAGTGTGCTGGAGGGGGGCGTGTCTGTAAAGCTGACCCAACTTTCCTGGACAGGAGGGGGTGAATGGGCGGACCACATCCCATCACCTGTAACTGGTCCTTAAACAAGACACAGAGAAAGAAAAAGAGGAAAGAAAGAGAAACAGATAACAGTTTAAAAAAGGGATAAGAACGAATCAATATAACAAATTATACTTCTTGAATATTTTATAAGAACATCATGTGACCTTTAATTTCAAACATCCATAAGTACTACTGATCTTTAAGACTGCCTACTTTATAATAACTTTCATTAATAAATAATTACCACATTACATTTTACACTATAATGTTTAAATAAATACATAACATAACATTTGTTAATGGTAGTAAGGAAGGTTATTGTGTGACCTAAATAATATATGATTGTATTATTGAACATTAAGTACCTGGCTGTGCTTCTCTAAAAGGTGGCCAAACAACTCCTGGCACTGAGGGCTGTCTGTCCACGTTTCCACCGCTGGCCTGGCGTTTGTGCTTCCTCCAGGCATGGGGCGAAGTGGGAGGGGACTGGTGCGGTGACACTAAAGGAGATGTGGTGTCCGGCTGGAGCCAGAGATAAACAAAATTAATTACTTAGTAACTTTATAGACTTCCAGCCAAACAGATGGCCTTGGAACAGCAGAGATACACGCTGAAGTAAATAAATAGTCCTTTTACAGATCCAAAAGAGTACACTTAATACATAGACTCTATGGAACATTAACATAACATTTGTTAATGGTAGTAAGGAAGGTTATTGTGTGACCTAAATAATATATGATTGTATTATTGAACATTAAGTACCTGGCTGTGCTTCTCTAAAAGGTGGCCAAACAACTCCTGGCACTGAGGGCTGTCTGTCCACGTTTCCACCGCTGGCCTGGCGTTTGTGCTTCCTCCAGGCATGGGGCGAAGTGGGAGGGGACTGGTGCGGTGACACTAAAGGAGATGTGGTGTCCGGCTGGAGCCAGAGATAAACAAAATTAATTACTTAGTAACTTTATAGACTTCCAGCCAAACAGATGGCCTTGGAACAGCAGAGATACACGCTGAAGTAAATAAATAGTCCTTTTACAGATCCAAAACAGTACACTTAATACATAGACTCTATGGAACATCCTGGAGTTAACTGCCTTGGCACAAAGAGTTCATGGAACTCCTCAGTCATCAGATAAATGCTGTAACCACTAACACACAACACCCCAGGTGATAACAAATAAAAGAGCAAAATTAAGAGCAAAGACTGATTTTCCTTTCTTTGTCAATACTGTTGTCTAATAAATATTTACTACATAACAGACAGTGACAGATCGAGCTGGCTACATTTATCCTATAAGGCCTAATGCACTGATTTCATATTTTGACACATATTCAATAATAGCATGCATGATATATGCTGTAGTACCTGTGGATCTACAGTGGGCACACAGGGCTGAACTATCTCATGCGCTGACACTTTTTTGGCTTGCACTCGCCCTGGAGGTCTGGGGAGGTAGGGCCCCTGGTTCTCTGGGTCTGCAAACATGTGCCTCATCTCCTGCTCGTTCTTGCCCATCACAAAGATAGGGAGGGGCAGATCCCTGACTGCAAACACAACTCCACATCAGACTTCTGCATTCAGAGACAGATTTAATATTCAACTACTGCCAGCAGTGCTAAAATAAGCACTACTATACTGACTGCTACAGCTGACTAGAGGTTGAAAATTTTGATTAATAATTTTAAAATAAATGGAACTGAAATCAATAGAAACCATCCAATGCATATTTAAATTCCAAGGTACTGTCAACAATTTCCTGTTGACTGTGTCTTCATGTTCTTGCAGTATCTTCAAGGCTACGAGCCGGATTTTATTTCCTGCTTATTTGTACTGCTGTCAATTTCTCATTCTTTTACAAGGCCTTGTGTCTAACTTCCCAAAATTAATGTAGTGCTTTTGCACAGGGCTTCCTGTCAGGGTCTGGGTTTATATACAGAACAGCCATGATAGTCAATAAACAAATAGGAGCATTTGCATTTTGGCTTAAAGGCAAAAACCAACATTTCACAGAAATATACAAAAGCAACAGGAAAAAATGCAAGCAATTTAAATGCACAACATACTATTCCAGGACTCGAACCTAAATACTAGCATTAAAAATGGCTCTTGTGTTTGCAATATACACATTCAGTCCTTTTCATCAAAGAGGCAGTAAGATTATCCTCTAATTCTCGTTATGTAACGGGCTGCAACTGCCACAATGGATTCATTTGTAAAATGAGTGTCTACAAAATTACAAGGATGTGATAACTTTACATTAAAAGAGCATTTTGATTTGGTGCATATGGTACACACGTGCAGAAACAGCTATAAAAGGGTTTCAGAAGGTTTTTTGCTACCCACCACTGTTCAGGCTCTCCACGCGCAGGGGCAGTCCAGACTGGGCCAGTGCAATGAGCTTCAGTGCAATGTAGAACTGACTCCGACCGAAATGACCTAGACGTGTGGCCCCGCAAAGTTCAGTAATCTAGAACAATGAAAACAGAACTACCAATCAGATAAACTGACCTTAGCATCTACAATACAATGGTGAACATTCAATAGCATGACCAGAAGTGAGTATAAGTTAATGCCTCTAAAAAACAAACAAACAAACACACACGATATAAAGCACTAAGCTGGATTTGAGATAACTAAAAGAACATTTAATGAACAGTGAAGCAAAACAGTCCGCCAATTATTTGATCTCAAACTACTTTTTTATTTAAATAAAATATATATAAATAAAATAAATGCAGCCTTGGTGAGCATAAGAGACATTTTTCAGAAACAAAAAAATTACTGATGTTTTTTTTTTATTATTATTATTGGCTTTAAATAGTAATTTATTCCTGTGACGACATAGCTAAATTTTCAGCAGCAATTATTCCAGTCTTCAGAGTCACATGATCCTTCAGAAATCATTCTAATATGCTGATTTGCTGCTCAAGAAATATTCCCTATTAGTATCAATGTGGAAAACAGTTGTGCTGTGCAATATTAAACCGTGATACATTTCAGGATTCTTTGATTTAAAGAACAGAAGCTGTTTGAAATAGCTTTTTGACAGTAGTGTATGTAACATTAATATGGTGTTACACAGATGATATTATAGGCCAGGCATAGTATGCAACAATTAATTTTTTTACTATATGTAACAAGGGGTATGTATCTCTATCCACTATGGGTCTCTTGTATTAGACAACAGTTTGGTCAATCACCAATATAATGGCAGTATACATAATACAACTCACTCAAACCAGAAAACTAATAATATTTAATACACATAACTGTTAATCAGTCAAGTTGGCACAGTTATCAATCTCAAAATTGCAAAATGTTGATGTAAAATTAATGAAACATTAGAAATCCATTAGTAGAGAAACAACATCTAAAAAAAGTTGACATTTCACACAAGTAAACCTTCAATGAAATGCCCTTGATGACCCCTTCCAATTACTAAAGTATAACAGATCAATAAATCTGTTGCTCAGACAAGATCAACACCACAATAAAAAGTTGCAGTCTAGCAACTCATGGACACACCCCTTCAAGAATCTCTGGCCACAAATCTATAAGCAACTAGACAATGAAGACCACAAGTATTTGAAACTTGTTATGCTCTAACAGTGCTGACTGCTGACTATAGCAACAGATGAGGTAATCAGCACCAACCATCAGTGAAGAAACAAACATCTCTCAATGACACTTCAAGAGCCAACAACCTTGTCTGGAGTCTCCAAAAAGAGTAGACTGAGGTCAAATATTATAAACAAGTTATGATCAGCTGAAATATAGTTAATAAATTAGACTGTTTTGACTCATTCCACAACAAAGGGTCACACATTATGCATAACCCCAAACCTCCTTTCTTGCATTAATACTTTGATAAGTAAGAAAATCACCTTTCACGAGTCATCAGTGGTGTATAGATCTCATGGCAAAAACAGAAAATAACTATTTATGCTAATATTTAAGAGGAAGCAGGCGCAACTAATAATTCTACAGACTTGCACAACAGGAAACAAAGTTTAACCCTACCAGATGCATCACCCTTTATCTGTGCAACTCACCAACAATGATATGAATTCATCAGATCCGTCTAAACACTCTTGACATCACCCAAATGATCCATTAGAGCTATTAGCATTTCTGAAACGATTAACTCAAGCCATCAGTTTAACTTACTAAAGTGTATAAGCGTACCAACAAAGATCTGTTGACTAATACACACATTACTGAATCAGATGCATACTATACCTGATGGACCACTTCGTTTGAGAGCTGGGCCGCCCGGAAGAGGTCCAGAACTTTGCCATTTGAAGCCACTTTCTTGGCGTTATCCACATCACAGGAGAGGAAGAGTTCAGAGTAATATTTCTGCTCGACATCGCTCAGTGTTAAACTCTCCATCGTGGCATCAAACCCGCAGCTGGTGGCTTCACCTTATCAGGCCAGTGTCGTGCCTTTCGGGGTATGAGCAAGACAAGAAACTAGCAAAACACAAGTAAGATCCTTCTGTGAAATGGACGGACTCGAAAGAGGGTGTTTTGGGGTGCTTGTTGTTGTTTTTATGTACCGTTAGTCGCTGTCTTTGCTCTTGTCTTTTGGCCCTCGCAAAGTCAACCAAACTAATATAGCCTGAGACGTCGAAATTCCGCGGTAACAACGTCGAGACTGGGTTCCGCTGTCGCGCTGGCTCTTTACGAGGAGGATATGGCCGTCGGTGGAGCGGTAGAGCTCGTGTAGCCGCTGAGCGATGTTAGGAATAAAGTTTCGGGCTCTTCGGGCTGCTTGTCCCTGCAGACAGCGCCGCCATTCCTGGACCCCGTGACGTCATGGCCCAGGCGCGGAGGACCCGGATGGAGTGTGGCGTCACAGATGTGCCGTCAGCTAGCGTGTTTCGAAAATTTGCTGTTTCATACATGTAAAAGCAAATTTAGCTAATCTAAACTCTGTTTTAATATATAGAGAGAATTCGTTTTGTTTAATGACTCTATTAAATACATTGGTAATTAGAAATCTTCTATTTCATTGTATTGCATTAATCATATAGTAGAAAGGGTTATGTTATGGTGTGAGAGTGTGAGAAGATAATGGAAGCGGTTAGCATTTTGGTAGGAGGAGCTAAATCTAGAATAGCAGGGGTTAGTGTTATGAAGTCACACGGTGTTGTTCATAGTGGGAGGGGTTAGCGGTGTGGTGGGAGGATTTAGTTTCATGGCACTGATGATCATTCGCAATGAGGGATGCCGATCTGATAGGTGACCGCTGATCAGTGTTTGTTATCAGATATGTTAACAGGACCTTTTGACACAGACTCATCATATGCGCTCCAGATGAGCATCATTGGACTCTAGGTTACAATGGAATGGATTACTTTAATTTTGACTGTGATTACTGTGATTATTTCTTTTCATCTTCTCTTTGGCAAAAGAAGTCATCCTAATGCTCCTCCATGTATAAGAGGTTGGATACCTTGGTTTGGTGCTGCTTTTGAGTTTGGCAAAGCACCTTTGCATTTCATCCAGAAAGCCAGAGCCAAAGTAAGTGTGCCCATTGTGAAATTACTTGAATAAAGAATCATAACTGTATAGTCTCTAGATGATTTGCATGCATATAGATTTTTTTCATATAAGATTTGCATATAATTTTTATTTATGCAAATCACAGTACAGTGGAATTTCAGACATTTGAGTTCAGGGATTTCAACATGTTCCCCCAGAACATTAGTTATGTAAATTAAATATAAAATGTATTTAAAAGGCTGATAACAGTTTTTGGCATAAATCATACAGGGTTGGTCTGCCAATGGGTCCAGAAGTCTAGCTCGTCCCCTGCAAATTTTGATGAACCTGTTGCACTCACCTACTGTACAAAAATGTAAACGTGCAGTGTGATAATTTGATTTTTAGAGGAGAGTTTTTAAAAGTAACCGATTGTCAATATAGTTATATATTTTACACGTTCTCTTAAAATTAACAGCACATTATTATTACTATGATCAATATAAACAATATTAGAAAATTTGCCTTCAGACTTTATATTTAAACTACATATCTTTGCTTTACCATGCTGCTTGCCTATTGATTGATTGTGATGGCTGGCTGTTTATACTTTCAATACTTTCATTAGCATCTACAACAATATTACCCAGACGCTATGCTGGAGCCCTGTGGCTGATGTTGCCATGTTTTGTTTTTGAGCTGTGCCATACTAACCGAGTTTGAAGACAGTTCAGTTCAGCACCACTAATTTATGCAACTAGGACAAAAGCCGCACACAGTGGCTCTTTTTGACACAATTTTTGTTCTGGGCACTGCTGTGCCAGTTCTCTGAAAGCATGGGAGATAATGAGAGGTTTGCTGAATAGACAACTGCTCTAAAATTCAGTAATTGCTTCTGCCAGTGCCAATGCAAGAAATCACACAAAAAACGAGTGCTTTCAAGTCTTTTAAGGTTCTCTGGGGGGGAGGTCACTGCATAAATGTATTTAATTGCCTGTTTTTGTACTGTATTTTTTTTCACTTAATTTGCATCTTAATATAAGATTTAATCATTTGTATAAAATAGAAATAATAAAGCTTAATTTCTTTAAAAAATTTGTTCTCCTAGTATGGACCAGTTTTCACTGTTGTAGCTGCTGGGAAGAGACTGACATTTGTGACCCTAAATGAGGATTTCCGAGCTTTTTTCACCTCTAAAGATGTTGATTTTGAACAAGCAGTGCAAGAAGCTGTTCACAACACAGGTACAATACTCGTGGTAAAGGTTTAGATTTATAACTGATTGCTAAAGCTACTCCATTACTCTCTTATACATGACCTTAGACTCTGAACTCAATGAGATGATTTATTACTGTCCTTGACTGACTTATTTTCAATACTGCTGATGATTGAACGTCATCAGTACAATAGTCTGTGATAATGTGATAATGTTGACCTTGGGTTCCTGTCCAGCTTCAATCAGCAAAGATTGTTTCTACAAAACCCACCCAACCTGTGCCACCGTAATCAAGGGCAGACTGACTCCAGGCAACACGGCAATGCTCTCCGCTCATCTCTGTGAAGAATTGAATGACCATTTGGAGAACCTTGGAAGTGAAGGATCTGGACAGCTGAATGAACTCATCAAGTATAGTCTTCTTACATTAATTATTTACATTGTGCTAAAGTTCCCCTTAGAAAACAGTAGACTTGCCTTCCATACATTTCGCAGCAACTTAACACACAAAAAGGGAAATTCTGTGCTTAATAATGCCACTGTATATCAATAGATTATGATATGTAGAGTATAACTAAGCTATAACAAAATTCTGCTGATTTGCAAAAAAAGCCTAATATTATCTAATTTGATAATGCTGGGTTAAAAAATATTAGAACTTTCCATAATGTACAGCAATTACAAATGTATCAGCTAGAATGCATTTATCAAAATAACCAAAGCAGTTAAATGTCAAAAATTACAAAAAGTATTCAAAATGTATAATTTAACTTAGTCTGCAATGGAGTGGGAAAATATATTCAAATACTCCATTTAATGTCAAAGAACTTAACATAAACACGTTTATAAATACTTTTTCCCCACAAAATCTGTAATTTTCTGTCATTGTTTGGATGTAGTAAAACACCCATAGATGTATCAGAAAACATCTGGGTCATGTTTGCATTTTCTTCTGTCACTGGCCATAATTCTAACATTGAAATCAGAATTTGGCATAAAATAATGTCCTCAGACTCATACATACATGTGGAAATTGAGAATTGAACAAACAGTAGAATCATGTCTTCTTTGTGGCCATTTTTTCTGTTGTTAAGGGATTGAATCCCACCTTAATGGTTGTCGAAAGCAAAAATGCTATGAAATCCACATCTTATTTTGTAAGAAAGTGTGTCATGCTTGAGGGAAAACAGGCACTATTTTTGAATTCCGCACACCAAAATTAGTAAAAAACAAGTATTGGATTTCATTCAGCAAATATGATGCAGCGCAGTGTAATACACTATAATTCATCAACATAAATCTTGTAATGTAATTAGATAATTTCAAGTAATTTATTTCTTGAAAACTGTATTATACTTGTTTTCAGGAGTGTTATGTATCCAGCAGTAATGAGCAACTTACTGGGCCGATGTAACTCTCCTAGTAACGCCCTCACCAGGCAGGAGTTCCAGGAGAAGTTCACAACCTATGATGAAGGATTTGAATACGGCTCCCAACTCCCAGACATGTTCTTGATGTATGTGAGTGCTACTGCCACAATATTACTGAAAGCTGCAATTATGAAACACAATTAGTCTTCTGAATCATGTTTATAAGTTACTTGAAAAATAATCAACTAAAAAGGCCTTGTATATCAGCATATACTGTATTTCTGTTGAAATACATTCAAAACATCTATAGCCAAAGAGTTAAAGGATGCACCTTTTGTGTCTTCAGGGAATGGGCAAACTCAAAGCAATGGCTCCTTTCTCTGCTGAGAAATATGGCTATCAAATCACAGGAGACCCTCTACAGTGAGAATGATGGAAAGGTAATATAGGTAATCTAAACTGCTCCACATGATAAAAGACAACGATGGCCTTTATGGGGATCAGGTGAAAATGTAAAACCTTGAAACCCCCATTTTGAGAAATTCACAGTACATCATTTGCTCACCAATGGATCCTCTGCAGTGAATGGGTGCCGTCAGAATGAGAGTCCATTCAGCTGATAGAAACATCACAATAATCCACACGACTCCAGTCCATCAATCAATGTTTTGCGAAGTGAAAAGCGGCATTTTTGTAAGAAATGAATTCATCAATAAGGCATTTTAATTTTAATCCATTGCTTCTGGCCAAAATACAAGTCCATAATCTATAATAATGCTTCCTCCAGTAAAAAAGTCCATCTGTTGTCCTCTCATATCAAAATCCACCAACATATTTGGACTGTTGTTTGGACTGTTTTCACTTGTAAACAGTGCTTGATTTGTGCATATTTCTCTCCTGATTCAGACAAGTTAAAATTTCACTGGTGAAAACAATATTATAGAAGACTCGCGGAAGTAACGGTTTGATGGTAAAAACTTATTGATGATGGATTTGTTTTTTTACAGACATGCAGCTTTTCACTTAACAAGACGTTAATTGATGGACTGGAATTGTGCATGGATTACTGTTGTTACTGATGTTGATCTTGAAACACATAGAATAGAGTTTAATGCCGAACTAAATCTTTCTTATTGGTCTGTTGAATGTGTACATTTATAAACATGTTTGCACCAATAGAGGGAGCTAAAGAGTTTCCATCAGGCTTCTAAGCCTCTTTTGTAGGACTATATGACATTTGAAGTTTTACAATTTTGTTCATAATCATACATAATTTTAGATTTTTGATTATGGAATCAGCATAATATTAGAAATCTATCTGCTGTATTTGGCCATTGTTTAATAAAAATCCAAAAAGTTTCTGATCTGTCACCGTTTCTCCTTAGACTTTACTACAGCACCTGGCTACTGCAATAAGTGACAGATATCTACCCAATTATGGTTTACTTTTACTTTGGGCTTCCCTGGCAAATGCTATACCAGTAAGTGAGAGGTTTATTCTAGTGCTATTACACTGTATCTTTCTATGTGTTAACTCAGATTTGACATTGAACAGAATGTTGCTGAGAACTAATGTTTTAACTTTATTCTAGATTACATTTTGGGTCATTGCTTTTATTTTGGCCAATCCTAAAGCATACAAGATTGCAGTGGATCAGATCAACGCTGCCCTCAGAGACCAAGGTAAAACCAATATCTCAAAACCAATGGTTTTCAACTTGTAAAGCCCCACCCAGACTGAATTCATTAACTGCTTTCAGTATAAATATC